AAAAGAAAAGACGAAAACACATGAAAGAAATGTGTGGATATGTTGATATTCGGGTTTAAATAAAACAAACACCACACACATGATTTTGACGACAGCCTCTCTACTTTGTAAATGTAATAATAAAAATGAAGTCTCCTTCAAGTTCGGCCGGGCGGATTTATTTTTTGCACCCTCAAGGGACACACACAAAATATCTGGATTTTTCTATGGGTGGCTAGGAGAAAACCAAATACCATACTACAGGCACTCACTGATTAGACCTTCCTCAAAGTACGGAGTATTAAGGGTGTCCGTTATATGACAGATATACCAAAACGTGGACCGATATATATAATATAGTATGAACTTTTGACAACTAATGAAATCAGAATCAAATTACAACCAATTAGGTTGAAAATTGTCCCCTAAATAATCGAAATACCGAATTTAGGGGGCTCCGTGTGGAGCTATTTAACCTATATATACTTGCCCTATAGGGCTCACCCTTGTACCTCTCTCGCAAACCACACCAAACTGATGTTGTTGCAACTGGAATAGAAGAAAGGAACATTGTTACCAATTGTTCTAGTTCTTCTGTACTGACTGCGTATTTGTTTTATCTGGGTAGTTGAATTGAATATCATGGGTATCGTTCGATCAATTCGTGCTCAATAAGACTTAAGGCAGTTGCTTAATAGTTGAATTTTGCATTCGAAAGGTATACGATGAAAGATAAAAGGCGTGCCAGTTTACTCTGTAAACCAAACAGCACATGTTACGCGCCTACGTCGACGACATCGATATAATGGAATCTGTCCTCCATCGACATTTGTGTTTTGTGTCCTTTCAGCTGCCTAAGAGGTGAGGACAATGGACTTAGTGACGGATATTTTCAGATTGAAGAAACTTACAAGATCACATATGTAGAAGTTTATTCTCTCGTATATCTTTAACAAATGAGACCCGATGCCATTTTAAAGAAACTTACAAGATCAGCTATATAGAAGTTTATCCTCTCACACTTCTTCAACAAATGGGGCCCGATGCCATAATCATCGTAATACATTACGATCATTCAAATACACAGACGACTTGAAAATACTATCAAACGTTACAGCGAATATAATGGGTTAATTCGTGATCTTAATCTGCCCTCCTTCGATTATTATGTTTAGAGGGATTTTCATTTCAGCCGTCAAAAAGGTGAAGAACGTCAGCATAGTGACGATTTTTTTCATTTTCCTCGGATATAAGAAAGGCACAATATCAGTTATGTAGAATTTTACCCTTTCACATGTCTTCCACATTGAGACCCTATGACATAATCATCGGAATACATTACGATTCCAATGCCGTGTCGTAGTTGTAAAATGTTCGTAAGGTAGAAGTTTCAAAGTTCTAAAGAAATCATCCCACCTTAGAGAATTTCCTTTATCACTCGATAAGTATTCGACTTTCTTTTTCTGTTCCACGATGAATTTGACATGGTTTACGGTATCGAAGGCCTTCAATGTACATTTTTCTAGATCACTGCATTCTCACAAAACAGCGGATTCTTACCAGTTGTTGTTGCCGTTTTTTTCGTTCGTAGAATCCTTTTAGTTCTTTTGGGTTTCTCCGTCTTTATAGAAGATTCTAATTCTGCAGTAGTTTTTCGATGCTATCGCAAGAAGTCGATGAATTCTCCAGGCAGTCTCCTTTTACTTACGGTTTGTTCAGCTTTCTGTCTGTACCTTCTGATGGGATGTTAGTTTTTTTTTTTCATGGCATTTGTCTGTTCATTCGCATCACCCATAGGAAAATCTTAACACTAAATAAGCGAAGACCCAACCACTGAATTAAGGGATGCGTTGTTTCTATGTAGCGATAGATGACAGCCTCATCATTTAGGAGAAGGGACAGAAGATCAGGAATATACTTAGCTGGAATAAGAGATGATGAAACTAACTAAAGACTTATCGTGTTGGATTGCGAAGCTCTATGCTCCCAAGAGCATTTGAAGGAGAAAATATTTAAAGGAAGAGCAGGAGATAGCATAGGAAAATCGCAACCTTAAATAAGAAAAGACGCCGACCACTGTACAAAATTATAGCCCCGTAATTTAGGATAGGCTACACCGGATCAATCATATACTTAGCTGGAATAAGGGAAACAATGAAATGATTAATGGAACTTTCAAGGACTAATCGTGTAAGATGGTAATGCCTTGTAGAAACCCTATGCTCTAAGAGCCGTCAAAGGGAGAAGATTGCGCCACCCACAGGAAAATTGCAACACTAAATAAGCAAAGGCTTCAACCAATGTACACAATTCAAAAAGTGTTGTTTATAGGTAGATGACGGTCCTATCTCCAAGCTACAGTAGATCAATCATCTACATAGCTGGAATAAGAAAAACAATTAAATGCATAATGAAACTAACCCAAGAACTAATCGCCTAAGATGATGATGCTATGTGGAAGCCCTGTGCTCCCTAGAGCAGTAGAAGGAGAATAACAGTCAAAGGAAGAGCAGGGGATAGCGTCACCCAGAGGAAAATGGCAACACTAAACAAGCAAATACACCAACCAGTGTACACAAATAAAGGTTGCGTTGTTGCTATATAACGATAGATGGCGTCCCCATCATCTAGGACAGGCTACAGCAGATCAAAACCTAAAATAAGAGAAACAGTGAAATTATTAATAAAAATAAGTCAACTCCTTTGCTTCCAAGAGTAGGAAAAAAGAAGAAAAATAGCCAAACATAATTTTGAAGAGAGGAAAATATCCAGTTACAATTAATTTAAAAAATAATTATATTGTCCATCTACGGCAATTTCGACTGGATGGATGACTTTTCAAGAAAATAAATATGTAACTCGAGTTGTTTCTATGTAACGACGGCTGGCAGTCCCATCACCTCAATCAACTACTATAGGGAAAAATAGTCTACAAGAATTTCGGACAAGGGAAAATTACCAATTACAATTGATTAAAAAAAATTAAATTGTCCTCCTAGGTAAATTTTAATGGGATCAATGACTTCAGTGCGACAATCCCATTATAGCCCTAGGAGTTGATCTTGAAGTACTTTATGGGGTAACTGTAACTAGATATCGAGGTCCGGAAGAATTAAGAATAGCTCTATAGTGACAATATATGTCAATTTGTTGAGTAAACATAACCCTACCATAAGCAATTCTATTTCTCTCTCTCTCCTATTTATTACAATTTATCATTCCTCCACCATTTCCTCTACTTTTATTTAAATAATGTATATATTTTTCCGCTTAAAACTATCTCTGAACTAAAAAACAAAAAAATTTCGTTTTTTTCCTTTTCATTACAGGGCGACGAGAAAATTCAATTAAAACCAAATTACCAAAAAACTGTTGAGCAAAAAAAAAAAAAAAAAAAACAACAACGACAACAAAAACCCAAATAAAGAACAAGTTTTGTTTCCCTTCTGTTGTTTTTTTATTTTGGGGTAACGCAAAACAAACTTCTTGTACATACTGCAGGATGAGACGGAGGAGAAGATAAATAATACACAGCATACAATCAGCCAAAAACAACTTACTAGAAAACACAAAACGACAGAAAAAATAGTTGCCTAACAAAACAAAAGCAATAACAAATAACAACAAATGTATAATTTATATAATATTAAAAAAAATAGTAAAACCTCTTTCCCCCACGCAAAATAAAAAATAACTTCCCAACTCTACGGAAATAATCTCCCAGAATAAAATAAATAAAAAGTTAACTTTATTATAAATAAAAATAAATAAATAATTGTAAAAAAAATATTAAATAAATATATTTTATTAAGCCCGCTAAAAAAATAATTTCTTTTGAAATAAATGTCACAAGAGAGTAGCTAAACATCAAGTAGAAATTTATGTAAAAAATATAAATATTATTAACCAAGTGCTTACTTATAATTAAAAGTAATAATCTAAAGAAATCGTAATTTATATATACATATAACTTAAAAAATAATTATAAAATACCTCCTCTTATTCATGATTAGCATTTTCATTTGATTTGTGTACGTAAAACGGAAATGCTTTAGAAAACCCCCAGCTTATTTGTAAAACTAAACAAAAATATATTCCAGACAACAAATCAAATTATTCTAAACTAAATATTTATATTAGAAAAAAAATAAAACACAGAACAACAAATTGGTAGTAATTACGCAGTAAACAAATCACATGTCAATCAAGCTTTGCTTAAAAATAAAATAATTAAAAGAAGAAAAGCAAATTAATAAATTAATCAAATCAAAGTCAAAAGTTTTGCAAAGGACTTTATTTAGTAATAAAGAGTTATATATCTTAAATAATAATACATATATATTTTGTCACATAAAATTACAAGAGACAAAAAGAAACGGCTTTAAATGTTGTTTAGTTTCCACATTACAAGAAAATACAGTAATAACATTAATTGTACTGGCGTTACGTGCTTACGTCACGCACTAATTGGGTGTTCTGCGTAAACATACACAACACAGCTCTTTTTCCTACTCTCACTCACACGCGTCAATAGGCTTTCAAAATAATAACAGATGACTCTCAGCGTCAGCACGAGAGCGAGTACACACATAAGAGAAGATAAACTGCAATCTCTTATTGTAACGGTCGGTTAACTACCAAATTAGAAAAGAGAGGATAATTTGGATCTCTAACTGCTGATTTACTACCAAACTCAAGTAGGAAAGCCTTTTGAGAGTCTAAAATTCTCCTCAACAAAAACAACTATCCTTTTTTATAAATTAACAAAACAAAATCGGAGAGAAGAAATCAACCTAGACCAAACTAAACCAAATCAAAGTAACTTTCAACTAAATTCTAATTAACAAATAACTTCAAACACCAAAAACAAAACAATCTGCGTTTTTTTGTTTTGAAAACCCAAGCAAAACACCAATCACATTCATAAGAATGTCTTATTGTCGTCGCAATTATTTGTAAAGGAAGCAGAAGAAGCAGCAGCAGTTTTCTAACCTACAAAAATACAACTACGAAAAAACCAACTAGCCCAAATGCAGCAACAATGGATTTGAAAAAAATACTAAAACCACGGTAAGTTTTATATTCAATCAATTTCTTGTGAATAATTTATAGGTTCTTTAGAGATAGATTTTCTGCTGTTAATTTCACTACGTAGCCTCTGCAACTTCCTGATAGGTTGGCCGCTATGTACTCACTGATCACGAGCTCGGCTTGTCTCTCCCTTTCATACACTCGTTCGGGAATTTCAGTATGCTTTTAGTCGCATTCCCGACGCTAAGCCTCTGGTGCTGTGCCTCCGTTAGCTGAGAGGACCGGGACTTCTTTACGAACATAGTGCCAATGTTAACGGGAACATGTTTACATCTTCATTAGAATTTAAATCTCAACTAAATATTTCGGGTACAAATATACTAATCTATTCTTTTCAATTCATCAAGTTTTCCGTGTAAGCATTTTCCCTATTCTACTTGTAAAGCATTCTTCTTGAATACTCCATAATATTTCTATAGGATTCAAATTCGGGGACTGATGAGGTGTATGAAACACTTTTGAAAAATTATAAAACATCCATTCTCGAAAGGCCTGGGACTTGTGTTTGGGGTCATTATCTTGTTTTTCACATTGATTTAATTAAATTCAGGCGTCGGTCTCTTACTTAACTTCACGATCACTCACACTGCCTTAACGGTTCCTCATGATCTTTATTTCGTCTCTGCTTAATTGCTTTTAAATAAAGGCCCACGATGGTTTTTTATTTCGACTTGATTAAAATCACTTTAAATAAATAATAATACGTCCACGAGGGATCTGCAATTCTACCTTATAATCATATGCCCACGACGGCTCTTGTTTTAATAGATCTTTTGCATTATTTTTCTGCTTGTAATTTCACTACGTAGCCTCTGGAACTTCCTGATAGGTTGGCCGCTATGCTCTCACTGATCACGAGCTCGGCTTGTCTCTCCCTTTTATAACCTCGTTCGGAAATTCCAGTATGCTTCATTAGAATTTACTTACTTACTTAGCTGGCTTGTTACAGAACGGTTGTTCCATAAGCCGAGCTTAAACAAGATTTCCAAGCGCGTCGGTCTTGTGCGCAAGTCCACCAATTTGGAAGACCACGTTCCAAGATGTTATTTTCTACTTGGTCTTTCCATCTAATTCGTGGCCTTCCCCTTCTACGGGAACCATCAGCAGGCTCATTTTTATATGCTTTTTGAGCTGGGGCATTTTCATTCATCCGCACAACATGGCCTAACCACCGTAGTCGCTGCAGCTCAATACGACTGACTATATCGATGTCCGCGTATAAATTGTAAAGCTCGTGGTTCATTTGACGCCGATATTCACCCTCGACGCAGATCGGTCCGTATATCTTTCGGAGAATTTTTCTCTCAAACACCCCAAGAGCTACCTCATCTGCTTGCGCAAGTACCCGTGCTTCTGATCCATATAATAGCACGGGTAGTATCAGCGTCTTGTAAAGTGAGAGTTTGGTCTGGCGGGAGGTGGCCTTGTTTCTAAACTTCTTACTTAGACCTTAGTAGCATCTGTCTTTCTCCGAATTTCACAATCTTTCTCCGAATTTCAAAACTGATGCCATTCGTTTTATTTATGGCGGTACCAAGGTATATAAAGTCTTTAACTACCTCGAAGCTGTAGATCTCAAGTTCCACAGTTGGTCCGAGTCTACTGGACGTCTTGCGCGTTGATACCATCAGCTTGGTCTCGCCGTTTACTGCCAGACCCACTTTGGCAAACTCCTTTTCAATTTGTTCAAAGGTGGATGTTACCGCTCGCAATGTTCGACCCATTATATCAATGTCATCAGCGTAGGCTAGTAACATGTGTTGTTTGGTGTACAGAGTGCCATGTTTGTTCACCTTTGCGTCTCGTATGACCTTTTCCAGTAGGATGTTAAAAAGATCACACGACAAATTGTCACCTTGTCTGAATCCTCGTTCGGTATTGAAGGGCTCCGATAGGTCCTTTCCTACTTTAACTGCTGACCTTGTGCCACTTAAAGTTATCCTGCATAGCCGTATTAATTTTGCAGGAATGCCGAACGCAGACATGGCTGTAAACACCTCTGAACGGATAGGGCTGTCGAATGCGGCTTTATAGTCGACAAATAGGTGGTATGTGTCGATGTGTTGGAATTTACATCTCAACTAAATATTTAGGTTACAACTGTACTAATATATTCTTTTCAATTCATCAAGTTTTCCGTATAAGATGCCTGCATTTTTCTACTTGCAAGGAATTTGTCTGGCTCTAATAATTTCTCCAAAATACTCCATAAGTTCTTTATAGGATTCAAATCCTGGGACTGATGAGGTGTATGAAATACTTTTGAACAATTATAAAGCATCCATTCTCGAGCGATCTTGGACTTGTATTTGGGGTCATTATCTTCATTAAATTGAAATGTTATCCCCAATCTCAATTATTTAGGACTACATTTCATACAATGTTTTAGGATGTTTAAATAATAAATCTTAATCATAATTCTTCAATAAAAACCAAATTTCCTACTTCGGCTGCGCTCATACTTCTCCATACCAATACAGAGTCGTCTCATCCGAACTTTATTGTCGGAATTGTGTGCTTAAAATCGCACTGCGTCATACCTTGCTTGGTCCATCCGACACAAACAAGTTAAATATGCTTTCATCAGCCAAAATAACAGATTTCCAAAATGCAAAATCTTTTTTTCGTGAACCTGAACGAACTCTAATCCGGTTTTCGGCTTTTCGGGGTTTATGAATGATTTTTCAGGGCAACTCTACAATAAAAACCATGCAAAATTTTTCGAATTATTTCTAGGTTACATTCTAGGTTACTCTGAATGCTGTTTACGCTTTGTTTAGCCTATTGATTACTTCGGTATATGTATCACTATGCACTTTTTGCTCAATGCTTCCCATGTGACAATTCTGGTACCGAAAGCGTTCTTAAAGTCGACGAACATGTGGTTGCATCGTTCTATAGATTGATCTATTATGATTCGTAGGATATTGGTCTGGTTTAAACAGCTCCTATTTGGTCTGAAGATGGCTTATACATCAATCAGATTTTGGTTTGCTTTTGAATAATTTTTTTTGGTATTATGGCTTCTAGAATTTTGTATATGGTGTTAAGCAGTTGCTACAATCTTTCATGTCGCTATATATGGATAACTTCACAACAATGTCTTCCTTTAACGTTCGAGCAATCATTCTTCCTTCCAAGTTGATATGATGCGAGGTCTTTCTTCCAAGTTTATATGATGCGTGGTCAAAATGGTTCAGCAGAGAAACACTTTATTCTGCTGCTTTATCCAGCGTTCGAAAATAAACATTATGGTACCGTTCCATAGTGTTCTGTACCGCACCAAGGTGGATAGGTACACTAAAACAACGTACTGTACCGGTACACAAACACTAAAAATATTTTTAGCGTTACTGTTCTGGAGCACAACGAAAATCTTAGCGTACCAGCTGCGGTATACTAAAAAATCGTAGTGTACCGACAGCGGTACACTAAAAATCGTACTGTTCCACTGGTCGGAACAATAAAAATGTTTGTGTTCCACTGGTCGGAACAAAAAAAATGTTTGTGTTCCACTGGTCGGAACACTAAAAATGTTGGTGTTCCACTGGTCGGAACACTAAAAATGTTAGTGTTCCACTGGTCGGAACACTAAATATCGTAGTGTTCCACTGGTCGGAACAATACAAATCGTAGCGTTCCACTTACTTGAACGTATGTTTTGTTTATTTGAGGTAAAATGAGATCAAATAATAAAAAATAAAAATGAATATAACTTTATTTGCAATTACAAAATGTAGGTATTTTGGTGAGTTTTTGTGGCAAAATTATACAGCTTTGGATAAAATTTTTATTAATTTACACAAATCTATTGAAAAACAAATTAAATCTATTGAAAAACAATAAAAATATAAAGTTTATTCATACAAAAAATAAAAGACAAATACATCATTTTGTTTTCCGCCAAGTGGATCACTACGATTTTTAGTGTTCCGCCAAATGGAACACTACGATTTTTAGTGTTCCGGCAAGTGGAACACTACGACTTTTAGTGTTCCGGCAAGTGGAACACTACGATTTTTAGTGTTCCGACCGCGGTACGCTACGATTTTTTAGTGTTCCGACCGCGGTACACTATGGTTTTTAGTGCTCCGACCGCGGTACACTACGATTTTAGTGCTCCGACAGCGGTACACTACGAATTTCGTTGTGCTCCGGAACAGTAACACTAAAATATTTTTTAATGTTTGTGTACCGGAACACTAACGCTAATATTTTTTTAGTGTTTGTGTTCCTGGTACGGTACTCTATTATAGTGTAACGTTTTTTTTTTGCGAACACTGGCTTTATCACTATTGTCTCTTTTATTGATTTTTTCTGTGGAATTCTGGACGCTACTAAATTCTTCTAAATGTTCCCTTTGTCTTCGAACGCATTCACCGTTGTTTATTAGCAGCCTACTAATGGAATATTTTTTGATTGGCTTCTGATACACCTTTTGTTTGTGAGACTTACTATGGCTCGCCGTAGGTTACTCATGTTGTTTTGTCAAGATGCTCGCCTATTTTTGTCAGTTTTTTACCTTTTTTGCAGCTCTCTTCACTTGTTTTGCTAGATGTTTATACTGTTCTCTTGTGATATTGTTGTTGTTTAACAGAGAAATTATATTAAATTATGTAGCAACTTCTCGAAGGACCATTTAGAAATGTAATGTCATAAATTGCCGATGTAGCGAGACCAATCGGAAACCAAGAATAATAGAAATTATATTGTAAATAAAATGTGAAACTATTCGGTCTCGAAGGACCATTTCAATTAATGCATATAAGAAATCGATTTCTTGCGTTTCAAATTTCCTGAGACATGAAACTATTTCCAATTACAATTTCAATACATATCTAAAATATGATTATGCTGTCTTTATTCTTGTCGAATATACATTTCAAATGGATTTCAAATTCAAAGAATTACAAATATCATTTCTTCGACGAATGATCATTTGACATCGAATGAACATTTCTTCTAATTTTTACATTGTG